TGCTGCACCAGCCACCCCACCCACCCCACCCCGCACCTTGGGGCACATGCCGATGGACATGCCCAGGATCTTGCGGGCCGCATCCAGGCGCAGCTGGCGGATCTCAAACTGCGCCGCCATGATCCACACCTTGCCAAAGGTGAAGGCCTTGTGGGGCAGCAGCTTGAGGCAGGCGCGGTACACCTCGCGCGTGCGCTCCACATCCTCTGCGGCACGCAGAGGCGGTACCACGGTACAGCGACAACACAGCACATGGGAGGCGCGGGCGCAGGGCAAGGACAGCAGTGGAGCAGAGCTGGCGGCACTCAAGTGCCATGTCAGCCAGCCTGGCGCTGCTTGTCGCTGACACACCAACCCCTCCCCGCTCGCCACTCACCCGCCTCCAGCTCCTCAAACAGCGCGTACTTGATCCAGAGGTACACGTACCGCTGCCAGTACCGCTTCTCAGGCGCAGGCGGCACGTTTGCAATCGCGCGCTCATACACCTGTGCACAGCGGGTCCGGGAAGAAAGGCGCGGCGGGTCGGCGCGGCGGGCGGGCGGGCAGGCAGGCAGGCACGCAGGCTGGCAGCAGACCAGCGGCAGCGCCCCTCTCAGGCACGCCACACGAAGCTGGGGGCAGGGAGGTGCAGCAAAGGGGGGCGCGGCAAGGGGCTCGCCTCTCGCGTGCGGTCAATGTCCCCCGCGCTTTCCTCCAGCCGTATGTAGTCAAACCAGCTGTCGTAGTTGAGCGGGTTGCGCTTCACCTGCGGGGCAGGGCAGGCACACAAGGCGACCGTAAGCAGGGCAGGCGCGCGGACGGCTGGGCGGGAGGACACATGTGCAGGCTGTGGAACTCCCACCAACCAGCACAACAGGGCGAGGGTTTGGTGGGGTGTGCACGCAACGGCAAGGGCAGCGGGCACAGCGGGCGCAGCATGCCCTACTCACCTCCTCCTCATACTGGAACCGCCGCTCGCTCACAATCACCTCCTGTGGGCGGGCAGGCGAGGGAGGCAGGTGAGGGAGGCAACGCGGGCAGGCAGGGCAGGCAACGAGGATGAGCAGCAAGCAGGGAGGCTGCCCTCCCTCGCGCCTCCACCCCCGCGCGCACCTCTATTCCCTCGCGGTCCCCCTGCTGCTTCTCAAACTGCACAAAGCGGCGGTACAGCTCCCCCGCCTGGCTCTTGGGCAGGTGGTCCAGCGCATACTTGTAGATGGCCCTGCGGCAGGCAGGTGCAGGTGTGTGTGTGTGTGTGTGTGTGTGCGTGCCCCAAGCAGCAGGCAGGCAGGCAGGGCAACAAGGGCGGGCGGTGAGGGCTAGCGGGCAGCTCAGCTCACCGCGCCCGCTCCGCCTCCTTCACCCGCTCCTCAAACTCGGCAAACCGCAGGAACAGCTCCTCCTGCGGGTGTGCGCAGCCCCCAGCCCTGTCCCATTCAGCAGCCTGGGCGCGTGAGGGGCGTCGCCGTCGGGGCACGGGTGCCGCCGCAGGGCGGCAGCAACCAGAGCGACCGACGCGTGGCTGCAGTGCCTGCCCAGCCAGCCCAGGCCAGGCCAGCCCAGGCCATGCCATGCCTCACATTGTTGGCATCCTCCCCCAGCTCATCCACCGCCCGCTCGTAGCAGGCGCGCGCCGCCGCCACGTCGCCGCCGCTCTTCATCTCAAACTTGGCGTACCGCACCCAGGCCTTGACTGCGGCAGTACAAGGAGGACGGGGCAGTACAGCCACGGTCAGGTGATGCCTACATGCCCGGGCACAGACAGCACATGGCCTGCAGCCAGGGCAGGGGTGGCTGCGCAGCCAACAAGCACAGCAGGCAGACAGCTGGCTGCCGGGGCCGCAGGGCGCACCCGACGGCAGGCACTTGACGTATCGTTCAAAGATCTGGCGTGCCCGCTCCGTCTCGCCGTACCGCAGCTCCATCTGCAGTGCAACCAGAGCCCACCTCCTGGGTCCTTGCATCCATTCCAATTGCTGGTCCCGCATCCTATTTTCCCAGCACACGTCCCGGCCCCGAGCCACAGCCACTCCCCACTCCGCTCCCAGCAAGCTCACCACCCCCTCCCATCCACGCCTCCCGGCCACGCCCCCTGTCCAAACCAGCCCTCCGCACACACACGCCGCCCCCGCCCCGCACCTTGACGTACGCCATCCAGCCGTGGTGGTCGGGCTCCCACTGCATCCAGCGCTCAAAGATCTGGCGCGCCCCCGCCACGTTGCCCAGCATCTCCTCCATGTGAACGTACTTGTACCACAGCTGATCGATGCGCGGCAGCAGCGACACTGCGGCACGGGGGGTTGGGGATGGCGGGGCGGTGGGTGGGAGGAGGGCTGGGGGCGGCGGCGGAGCGCGCGGCAAGGGCCAAGCAGCGCGGCACCGACGGCAGCATGCAGCACGTAGAGGCTTGCTGTGTGCAGGTGGCGGGGCAGGCCTACCGGCACGGTCCCAGATGTTGCGGGCGTGGTTGATGAAGCGGTGCCGCATCTCCATCTCCACATACTTGAGCCACACGCTCACATTCCTGCAGGGGCGCGGCAGGCAGGGCAGCCCTCCAGTGAGGCGGGAGCACAGCCCCGGCGGGCAAGCGGCAGCAGCAGCAGCCGGCACGGCACCCCACCGGCCTGCCGCTGCCGGCTGCCCAGCCCCGCATCCGCTCAGCTGCGCCGGCAGCTTCCTGCCTGCTCCTCCCCTCCGGCCCTGCCCAGCACCTGCACCCCTGCCAGCAGCAGCAGCAGCAGCACCACCACCACCAGCAGGCCGCACGCACCTGTAGTCGACCTCGAGTGCCCGCTCCCACACGCTGCGCGCGCGGCGGAAGTCCTTCTGCTGCTCCTCCCACTGCGCATACTTGACCCACACCGTGGGGTTCCACCTCCCCACGCGCCGCACATGGTCCTCAAACTCCTTGCGCTTCTGCGGGGAGGGGTGGCGGGGCGATGGCAGTGGTGGGGGTGAGCGTGCGCGCGCGTGTGTGGAGGGCAAGCGAGGCAGGCCCCGGCACGGCTGTGTGTCGAGGCAGCGGCAGAGGCAGCGCGACGGCGGCGGGGGTGGCAATTCTGGCACATGCTGCAATTCCCAGGCACTCGCTACCGCAGGTGGCACTGTGGGCAGAGCTTCCACAGGCGGCAGCGGGCGGGACAGGGCAGCGCACCGCCAGGCGGTACTCGGCCAACTCCTCTGGGTCTGTGATTTTAATGGTCGGCGCCTTCTGCTCCGCCTCTTGCAGCGCCTTGGACTCGCGCAGGATCTGCTCCGCTGTGATCTGCAGGCAGGCAGGCAGGCGGCGCACCGTGCAGGCAGGGCGTGGGCGGGCGGCGGGAGCGGCGGCGCCGAGGCGGGGCACCGCGTGCGGCGGCAGCAGGCACGCTGCAGCGCTGCCCAGTCCCTGTGGTCGCCTCGGAGAGTGTCAGTGCGGTGTTTTGTCACGCAGCGTCCGGCTGCAGCGGCTTGCAGGGGCGCAGCAGCAGTCGGTGGCGGCACTCCCGCTTGCCTGCGTGGGCGCCGCCTGCTTGTTCTTCACTCCCGTCACGCGCGGGAGCTTGTGCTCCCGCTGCGAGGCGGTCGTGCCCGCCCCGAGCCCCTGCATTTTGGTGATGGCCGTTCACAGGCAGCGGGGCAGGTCTGAATGAGACCTATGCGGTGTCTGGATATCAAAAGGAGGCCTGGCCAGCACTTGCTGGTGCGCAGCCAAGCGGGAGATGCGGCCCGCCCTTGCTGCACAGGCTCCCTGCAGTGCGCAGTTGGATTGATGGATGAAATGGTGTGCGATCAGGGAGCGGTAGGGGAGGAAGGCCCCTGCCTTGCTGGCAACCTGGACGTGGAGGCGCCCTCAGCCCATCATCGCCTGTGACGCTCCCACGGCCTTGCAGCCCCTCCCCAATCCCCATCGAAACCACAGACATCTGATCCGGAGCAGAGCAGCCGCTACAGCCCTCGTCAACCGTGAGAGGCGAAGGGGCACCGCCGTGATGGAGCAGCAGGCGAGCTTCTGCCAGGCACTGTCATGCGCCTGATGGCCCGCAAAGCCTGCCCCGTCATCGGGTTGGCGCCCTGGACACCAAATGGCCGCCCCGTCCCGCCGCCTGCGCCCCACAGGCCACCGCATTCCAGGAGCTGCTGGGCCTCGACGCTCTGCCCCAGACGGGCCGCCAGGCGCGCGATGCCTCCCGCGCCCTGGGCGACCTCGTCCTGGCGGGGGTGGCGGTGTCGCCGCTGCTGGGCCAGCTGGTGGCGGAGCACCTGAGCGCCGCCCGCGCCCCGCCGCCGCGCTTCGTCGACGTCAGCACAGGCAAAGCGCACAGCCGCCCGCACGCCCACCCAGCCCAGCCGCGCACCGCAGCATGCCCGCAATGCGACGCTACCGCCTCAGGGCCTGAAGCCTCTGCCCTCCCGCTCACGCCCTCCCCCAGCCCACACCCGCCTCCACCTCGCCCCTCCTGCCTCTCAATGCCCCGCCACCACCCCACCCCCGGCTCTCCTGCAGGCCTGCGCTTGCGCTACCTCGAATGGGGCAGCGGCGGCGAGGTGGTACTGCTTCTGCACGACCTGGGGGAGGCGGCTGACATCTGGGCGCCCATCGGCCGCCGCCTGGGCGAGCGCGGCTACCACGCCTTTGCGCTGGACCTGCGGGGTGCGCCCGCATGCCTGCGCAGCCCTCGCCTGGTGCTGTCTCTCCTGGTGCCCCGCGAGGCCCTGTGGCCGTCCAATGGGACAAGTCGTTGGCTGCCGCCCGCACCCCACGCCATCTGGTGGCGGCGGCAGCAGCAGCATGCGGCTGCCGCGCGTGCCACCCGCCGCCCGCGCCGCCCTGCCCATGCCGCCACCCGCCCCGCTCCTCGAGCCTTCCTGCTGTTGCATTTCCGCCGCCAAACGACATGATGCGTGCCCCGCCCTGCTCCCACTACCCACCTCCCTGCTGCTGCAGGCCACGGCGAGTCTGGCGGGTCGCGGGACGGGTGGTACAGCGCCGACATGCTGGCGGAGGATGTGCGCGCCTTCATACTGGCCAAAGACCTGTACGTGGCGCCGCTGGCGGTGGTGGGATGCGGCATGGGCGCCGCCGCGGGGCTGGCACTGGCCCAGCACAACCCCTTCCTGGCGGGCGCCCTCCTGGCGGCGGAATTCTCGCTGCCGGTGGCTCAGGTGCGGGCCCTGCAGGCGCGGCAGGCAGGCGCCCAGGCCGGCAGCGCCCAAGCAGGCGCCAGCGGCAACGGCGGCGGTGGCGGCAGCGGCAGCGGCAGCGGCGGCGGCAGCAGCGGCGGCGGCGGCGGCGGCGGCGCCCTCAGCAGCAAGCAGCTGCTGCCGTGGTGGGGGTTCAGAGCGGGCCAGGCGGCCGCATTTGGTGGTGTGGAGCACTGCGCCGCCTTCCTGGCACACCCGCTGGCAAGCCTGGCCCCCGGCCTGCTGCTGCCGCTGGCCCGCGCAGCGCAGCGGGCGCTGGCTTGCGCGGGCGGCGAGGCCGGTGCCAGCGTCGGCAACAGCGTCGGCGCTGCTGCTGTTGGCGGCGACGACGGCACCGACGGCGGCAGCAGCAGCCCCAGCGCAAGGGACGGGCCTGCCGCCGACCCCGCAGAGGAGGCGGCGCAGCTGCAGCATCTGCTGGCGCAGGCGCAGCGGCCGCTGCGGGGCGCCGTGGCGTCCGCCTGCAGCCTGCTGCGCCTGCCGCCAGGCCTGGTGGATGGTTACGCGGGTGACGGCGACTACTACGGCGGCTTTGAGGAGGATGACTCGGGCGGGCTCAAGCCCCGCATGGATCCAGCTTTCCTCTTCAGCTTCGACCCCGCCGCCCTGCTGGCGGGCCTGCCCAGCCTGCGCTGCCACCTGCTGCTGCTGCACGGCGGCACCGCGGGGAGCTGGGTGACGCCTGGCGACGCCGCAGCCATGGCGCAGGCCGCGGCGGCCGGCGGCGCGGCGTCGGCGGCGGTGGCGGCGGTGCCGGGCGCGGGCCACTTCCTTGCGTCGGACCACCCGGACCAGCTGCTGCAGCAGATTGTGGGGTTCCTGGAAGGCCCCGCCATCCGCTGCTTCGACCGCCGCTCCCTGGCGCCGGTGGGTGGCCCTGCCGCTGCTGTAGTCGCCGGCCCTGCGCCCGCGTGCGCCGGTCACGCGGTGGCGGTGCAGGCGGTCGCGGCGGGGTGCCGCCGCCCCGAAGTGCTGGGCCTCAAGCCGCTGCCGCAGTATGCGTCTGTGGAGGAGGCCAAGAAGGTGGGCAGGCCGTGGGACCCCGCAGGCACCGCACATTCCAGCACACCCAATTCCCATGTCAGCGGTCTGCCCTGCTGCGTCTGCACATGTGTCGGCCCTCCTGCCCAGTCCACCCACCTCCCTGTCCGCCCCCTCCTCCTGCAGGCCCTGGGCCCGCGCGCCATCCCCACCGCCGCCGCCATCGAGGCGGAGCTGGTCAGGCTGCGGGTGGAGGAGGGGCGGGCAGCGGACGACGCCAGCAGCGAGGAGGGGGAGGCGGGCGGGCACCGCACCGCGCTGGCCAAGGAGCCGCCAGACTACTTTGGGTTTGTGGGCTGAGGGTGGAGCAGTGGCACCCCGAGGAGCAGCACCTGGCTTGGACCGGGAGCAGCCGCTGGGCATGAGTTGAGTGCGAGCGGGAATGGAGCGCTGTGACACTGCGAGGTTTTACAAGTTGCGTTGAGTTGAGAGGGCGCGGATTCATGAACTGTAATTGGTAAGCGGTTGCTTCAATGGGTTGGTGTGGTGCGAACACGAGGCGGCGTGCAGGCAACATAAACAGGGACAACACTGTCGCAAGTTCTCGCCAGGTAAGGAAAATGGCAAGGCATTGGTGGGTGCCGGGAGAGTGCAGTGCAATCAGGGTTGACGGCTGGTGCCAGGGTTTGGGCACATTGGGAGAAAACGCACGGCAGGCAGCCGGTGCGCTGCCAGGCAGCAGGGAGCAGCTGCAGCTGCATGAAAAAGGGCAGGGCAGCCGCACGACGCTACAGGAGAGAGCGTGCAGGAAGCAGTGCTGCTGGGGCAGGACATGCAAGGGAGGCGGCGCGCAAAGCGCGCCCGTGCCAGCTCAGCGCGCAGGGCGGCGTGCCGCCGCGATGGCGGCCGCGGCTCAGCCGCGCGTTCGGCGGCCGCGCCCCGCGCCGCACACGCGCTTGATGTACCGCTTCAGTCCATCCAGGTCGCCCAGGCCGCGCAGCTCCCGCAGCAGGCGGTTGTCCTGCAGGGGGCGGGGCAGGGCCGAAGTACCAGCGGGAGGCAGGATCAGGGTCAGGGTGTTGATCAGCCAGGCGGGCCGCGGGTGGGCCGTAGATGCGCAAGCGCCCTCCCCTGCTGAGCGCGCCGCCCGCTGCCAGCGTGGCAGGTGCGCAAGGAAGGCGCCAGCGGCGGGCTTGCGGCAGGCTGCCGCGCGCAGCGCCTCGCCTGCAGGTATCCGTTCTGGGGGAGGTTGAATGTGGGCTGCCCGGCGTCCCGGTTGAGCAGCCAGCGGTAGGTGGCGACGAGGTCCACGGCATGGGCGCCCTGCGGGGAGGAAAGCGACGCGGGGAGCAGCTTCGGGCCGGCCCCGCCCACGAGCTCACGCTGGCGCAGCAGGGACAGCACAGCACAGCACAGCATGGCACGGCACAAGCCCAGCACGGCACAAGCAGGGCACGGCACGGCGCAGCGCAGCGGTGCATGCCGGTCCCACACCCCCACCCACCGACTCCAGCGTTGGGTAGGTGCCCAGCCACAGCTGCTTGCCCACCACACACGCACTGGCCTCATACTTGATCCCGCCGCTCGGCTTGGGCACAGCCCGCACGCCCCGATAGATGGAGGCGACGGCAGCGTGCCGGCCTGCGGCGCCCGCGCCGTGAAGCGCTTCGATGGACACCGTGCGCGGCGCGCCGGCACCGGCCTGGCTCAGCCTGCTGGGCTTGGGCGGGAGCGCGGCGGCGGCGGCAGCGCGCTTGCCCGCGCGCGCCGCGCGCCGGCTGCTCACGCTCGCGCTGGCGCCGCCGCCTGGCTCGCCGAGCTCTGCTGCCAGCCGGTGCCTGATCTCCGCCCTGCGGCAGCAGCCAGCCATGCGGCAGCATGGACACCCACGCATGCACCAGCAGAGAGAGGGAGCCGCATGCCGTCCTCCCCTGCCTGCTGCTTCCCTGTTGCCCTGGAGCTTGCCCTGCCGCCGTCTCACCCACGCGCCCCTGCAACCCACCTGACTGCCGAGGCCCGCTGGCCGAAGAAGCGCTTGGTGCGCTCGCCCAGCGACAGGGCGTGGGCCTGGTGACGGGAAGCTGCCAGTAGCCGCGCCGCCGCCTGGCCCAAGTCCATGAGCGGCGGCGGCGGCGGGCCCTCGGGCCCCGCCGCCTGCTGCGCCTCACCCGCCTGCCCGTCAGCCTGGCTGCCTGGAGCGGGCGTGAGCGCCGCGCCCGGCAGAGGGGGCGGCGCGGCCGCCGCGGCCGCCGCCGCGAGCCGCAGCACGTCTGCGGCGGTGCGGCAGGCGGCAGCCTGAGGCAGGCGCGCCGCCACTCGGTACGCCAGCCACCCTTGCATAGCCTGCTGCGCCCCCCGGCTGGGCCTCTGGCCCGCCACGGGAGCGGCCTCGACTGCCTGGCACTTGCTGGCAGCGGCCAGCAGGGCCGACGTGACGTCGCAGGCCAACTGCTTGGCGCGCCGCACCCAGGCTGGCGCCGCGGCAGCCGCCTGCTGCTGCTGCTGCTGCTGCTGCGGAGCAGGCTGGGAGGGGTGCCCCTGCAGAACAAGAAACAACACACGGGAGCAGGTCAGGGGCCTGAGGCAGAGCACTGGCGCCTGCTGTACCCCCGGAAGCAGAAAGTGAGGCATCTGCCCTCAAAGCGCCTGTGCCTCCTTACCTGCGCGTAGAAAGCAGCCAGCCCGTGCTGCCAGGCATCCGGCCCGGCGCTCCTCTCAGGCGGCAGCTGCTCCCGCGCCTCCGGTTGCGGCTGCACCGGTGCCTCAGCCTCCTCCTGCTCGCCTGCCGCACCTCCAGCGCCCTGCTGCTGCTGCTGCTGCGCCGGAGCCGAAAGCCTGCGCTCCCTGACTGGCGGCAGCGGCGGCAGGCCTGCGGGCGGCTGGCGTGGTGGCGCGGGGATTGGCGCCTTCTTGCGACCGCTGCGAGCCTCTGCTGGCGCAGCAGGCGCCCCTGCGGCCGCGCCAGGCTGGCTGTGGACCAGCGGGGTGGCGGCGTGGGGCGCTGCCGCATCGGACGGCGGGCTGGCGGACGCCGACTGAGGGCTGAGCTTGGTGTGTCCTGACGAGGTGCGGCGCGGCGGCAGCCGCAGCGAGGCCTGCTTGGGAAGGCGCAGCGGGATGGGCTGAGCGCCTGCACCCGCCGCCATCGGCGACGGCTGCCGCACCTGCCCAGCCGCTGACGTGGCGGCCGCCCGCTGCAGGCCTGCTGCTGGCGACGGGGTGGCGGCCTGCTGCGCCCTTGCGGCAAGCGCGGGCGATGCCTGGCGGGCGCCCGCCAGCTGTGCCGCCTGCTGCTGCGCCTTGACCTGCGTGGACGGGTGCTGCGGCTGGTCGCGCGGCAGCTTGCCCAGCAGCTTGCTGGGCTGGGGTGGCAGCTGCAAGCCCTTGGGCACCGCCAATGGCAGCCGCTGCGGCGGCAGAGCCACCTGTGCTGCCTGCTGCTGCCCCTGCTGGGCCGGAGCCGGCTGTCCAGACCCCAACTGCCGGCTCCAGCCTGCCGCAGGAGCAGGCTGGGCGGGCGGGAGCCCCGCGGCAGGCGGGAGCCCCGCGCTGCCGCTGCTGCGGGCCTGCACCGCCACTCGCGCCTTCTTGCTGGCCGGCCCCTCTCACTGCCTGCCCAGCCCTTCAACCGGCACATGCTCTGAGCTGCCTTCCAGTGGCCGCTTGCCCAGCTGAGGGCGCTGCGGCGGCGGCTGCACGCTGCCCCTGCCGCCCGCCGCATCCCGGGACGGCATCGGTGCCGGGCTGCCGCTGGTGATGCTGGCTGCTGGCTCCTCGCGGGCCGACCGCTGCTGCTGCACCTGCTGGCGCGCGGGCTCCTGCTTGCCGCCTGGCAGCACCTGCGCGGTGACGGCGGTTTCCGCAGAGGATCCGCTGCCCTGCTCATCCGCCGTGTGGTGCAGCTGCGCCATCCCCCGCTCCTTGCGCCGCCGCTCCTCGCCCGCCGTGGCTGCCTGCTTCTTGCCGAGCCCTAGCGGGCGCTGGGCCTTGGGCGCTGGGCGGCCGGCAGCCTGCCCCGCCGCCCCGCCCTGGACCCGCTGCTCGGCAGCCGGCTGTGCAGCGTGCGGGGGGCTGGCGGCGGCGCCGCCGCTGCCGCCCAGCTGCTGCCACTGCCGGTGGCTGCTGGGCTGGGAGCGGGACTCGCTGAGCTGGATCTGGAAGTCTTCATCCCAGTCATCCTCCCAACCCGCCACACCCGCTGCTGCACCTGCGCCCTTTGACAGGCCGGCACCCGCCTCTGCCTGTCCGCCTGCCGCGGCCTTGCTGCCACCGCTCCCCATGCTGCCGCCCTGCTCCGCCTCCTTGTCCTCTGAGACGAGGTTGACCACTTCCACTGCTGCGCCGCCGGCCTGCTGCTGCTGCCGCGCCGCGCCGGTGCCGGGCGTCTGCAGGGCGGCCGGCGCGGGGTGCCCGCACAGGTCGCAGCAGGCGGGCGCTTGGTCGTTCAGGAGGGTGCAGTCAGGGCACTGCCACACCATGCCTTTACGGCCCTGCAGCCCAGCGGGGCGCGGCGGCAAGGCGTGTTGCGAAACTGCGCGGGTTGAGTGCAGGTTCGCCACCCGCCCAAGCTGCTGCCGGTGGGTTGCAAGGCTTGGCATCATTCCACTCCAGAAAGCAAGCAGGCTGTCTCATGACGGCAGGCTCAACGGAAGCCAGGCGCACCGTTTGCTTACCAGCAGCGGGCTTGCCGCCAGGCATGGCGCCGCAGCTAGGGGGCGGCGTCAGAGAGCCAGCTGCGGGGCCATCGCCTGCTGCCGTTCACCAACCAGGAGCCTGCACCACAGTGCAGTGGGCGCGCGTTTCCGTTGGCGAGAGCAGCAGGGCGGGGACCAGGAGTCCTTCAAGGGGGACCAGGACGCGGGGTGTCGCATTGGGGCTGCAACAGTCCCACCTGATGTCCACGATGCCAGGCAAGGCGGGCACACGCGCGGGCGGGGACGGGTGGCGTTCCCTGCTTGAGTTCAAAGGTGCCCACTGCAGTGCGCTGCAGACCAGCCCGCTTCAACCTGCAACCAAATCCAATCGAGCCCTGTCAATCGGAGACAGCCGCCTGCATGCAGCTGCATTCCGGGAGTTTTCTTCCCAGTCCCATGCATCAATCCACAACTGGCTAACATGCAGGAGCGGCCCAGGCTCCCTCTCTTCCACATTTCCAAACACAAGTATGGCGCCTCTCACCGTCCAGGTATGATGCGGCGCAATGCGCCTCAACCAGTTGCTCACGCCCAGGCCGCCGCCGGCCCATGGCTGACCCGCCCTCCCGATTGCTGCTGCAGGCGTCGGTGCTGTCTCATGTCCGCCTTGTGGGCGCACAGAGCCGCAAGTGAGTGCGCTGTGGCCGCTGCCACACACTACCCATGCACTGCTCACTTGAACGTCTGCCGGCAGGCCCTCCCTGGGCCCAGCCGACGCACATTGTGTCTGTGCATCGATTTGGTGGAAGCCTTTGTGGCTGGACGCCCACCCCAATCTCCTGGCAAGTTGCCGACCTTTGCATCTCCAGCGCCACCTCCTTATCTCCCCGCCTGCCGCCCTCCCGTGCACTGCAGTGTGAGGTCCGCCGGCCCTGCCCGCGCACAGCGGATGGCCGTCCGCCTCGCGTCGGCGGCGGCTGGGACCGAGGCGGCGCCCGAGGCCATCGCCCCCGAGGCGCCGGTCGCCCCCGAGGCTGTGGCCCCCGAGGCCGTGGCCGAGGCACCGGCGGCCGCCGCGGAGGCCGTGGAGGCGCCTGCGCCAGCGCCCGAGCAGCAGCAGTTCCGGCAGCGTCGCACAGGCGGCCGGCGCGGTGAGCCGCCGCCCGCGCCATCCAGCCATGCATCCGCTCATCTCCCGCACGCTTGCGACCCAATCCCCGCCCTCTCTTGCATCCACATCCACGCCCCTTCCCTTCCTCACGCCCCGCCTGACGCCTCCCCCACCCCGCCTCCCTCCCTCGCCGCCCGCAGCGGGCCCCGGCCCCGCCCGCACCTTCCCCGTGGGCGACCTGGAGGTGGGGCGGGAGTATGAGGGCGCCATCGTGTCCATCCGCGACTTTGGCGCCTTTGTCAACATCGGCGCCAACACAGACGGCCTGCTGCACATCAGCCAGGTGCGCCGCCTGCACAGCACAGCACCGCGCCGCGCCGCGCCCGCCCCGCGCAGCCTGCACCCCTTGCAGCCCCCCAGCCCCTGCCCCGCTCCTCTCACACCAGCAGGGCCAGGGCGAACGCACGAATGCGGCCCGCCTCCCATCCCACCACAAATACCAGCAGCCCTGCTCCCGCCCACCAGCCCTGCTCCCGCCCAACCACCGCGCCAGCACACGCACGCCCCTCGCTGCCCCACACCACGCCCACCCCACAATCAACGACCTCCCGCTCCCCTCCTCCTCCCACCCCCCACCACCACCGGCCGCAGATCTCCACCGAGTTTGTGCGCAACGTGGCTGACGTGGTGGAGGTGGGGCAGGACGTGACGGTGCGCGTCATCAACGTGGACATGGACCGCGGCAAGTTTGCCGTCACCATGATCCCCGAGGGGGGCTACTCCCAGCGCGGCTCCCGCGGCGCCCGCGACGACGAGTGGGAGGGCGACGCCGGCGGCGAGCGGCCGCAGCTGAAGCAGCAGGCGCGGGCGGCCAAGCAGCAGAAGCCGCGCGGCGGCCGCGCCGCGCCCCCCGTCGCCGCCGGCGACGTCATCACCGGCAAGATTGCGGGCACCGCCGCCTTTGGCGTGTTTGTCGAGGTGCGGCGGGCCTGCCGCCATACCTGTCCTGGAATGCACGCCGGCCGCCTTGCCTGGAGTGCCGCGTGCCCACCAGCCTGCCTCGGGCCCGGCACGGCCTTCCTGGTCGGCATGCATCGCGCCACTGGGGCAGCCGGCCCCACCCCAGCCGCTCTCCCTTTCTCACACACCCCTGTCCCCACCCCCGCAGATTGCCGAGGGCTTCACCGGCCTGCTGCACGAGAGCGAGCAGCGCCGCGAGGAGGGCGCGGGCCCGCTGTCGGTGGGTGACGAGGTCACGGTGGTGGTGGTGAGCGTGCGCGGCGAGAAGGTGGCGCTGTCCCAGCGCTCGGCCGAGGAGATTGAGCAGGTGGGGGCAGCCGCGCCGCGCCGGGGCGCCCTGCGTTCGAGGGGGCGCCTGCCGCGCAGGCGCGCAGCCCTGCTACCGACGCGGCCCGCCAGCCCGCCCCCGGCCGCAGCTCCGCAGCCCCTGACTGCCCCGCCCTGCCCCCCGCCCCATGCCACCCACCCCAAGTCGTTCCTGTAGGAGAAGAAGATGAGCAGCGCGGGGGTGGCGGTGGTGTCTGACCTGCCAGCTGGCGCGGGCGTGCTGGCGCGCCAGATGGCGCTCGCCGGCATCTCGCCCGACCAGTTCCAGGCAGCGGTGGGTGCCGCCTGAGGCCGCCACCCCCAGCACTGCACCCCTCCACCCCTCGCCCTTCTGAGCCAGAGCAGCGGGCACTTCTAGCGACGCCCGCCTGCCCCCCAGCCTCCCAAGCCGCCACCCCGGCAGCGGAGACAACAAAAAAACATCTTTGCCCCCCCGTCTCGCTCCACCCTGCCCCCCAACCTGCCTAGCTCCATGCATGCACTGTCCTGCTTGAGCCGCCCGCTGCTCAGCCCCTAGCGCGCCCTGCCTCGCGGTGTGCATGCACCGAGGCCTCTGTAATGCCTCGCACAACAGAGGC